TGGATCCCACGTATGCCACACACTTTACTTAAAATTAAATCACTTTAATTGAAGTCTTATCTAGTAAACTTGTGCATGTTAATATCCGTTAGGGAGGAGACCCCATGGATCCCGCGTATAACAAACACTTTACTTAAAGATCAATTATGGAGGCCCATGAATTAATAATAATTCAACTTAAATACTTAGTCATTTAAACTTTAAGGTTTGGACAGCATGCATAGAATAATTAAATTCCTAGCATGCTCCTAACATGCTTGTAAATTTAAATCATGCCTGTTACATAATCATGCATATCACATAATACTTTGGCAAGCATTAATTTAAATACATCCACAAAGCAATAAAAGGCAGAAAATTAAAAGCACACCCACGCAGCCCTTAAAACCCTAACCAATAGCCTAAGACAACCATTACAGGATTAAAAGGGGCGCGGACAGATGCTAGACATCGGCCTCTCACGCGATGGAAAAACTGGAACCTGGCCGCCTCGGGAAGAAGTCGCGAAAACTTCCTGAAGACGATCGAATTTGGCTGCGGCATTCGCCGTTACGGCGTAGCTGTAATTCGTGTAGATCTCGTCCTCCCGTTTCCGAAAAGGTATCATGGGCTGAAAACGGACAACCGAGGCAAAAGTTATGGCCAAAACAGTTTCAGCCGACGGAAACCCTAGATTTTCGGCCCAAAAGCCGAAAACCTAATTTCCATCACCAAAAATTGTTTCTTGGCCGTCACTACAAGCCTCATGTCCGCCCTTACCTCCAGCGCCACCTCTGCTTCGCTGCCCCACTGCGTTCGTGGCTGTTCTGCTTATGCGAACTGCTTCCAAATCGCCTCCCTTTTTCATGTCTTTTTCAGAATTACGCAGTATAACTCAAAACAACATGAAAAGCCCTACATACATGGATCTATATACAAAACCGCCTATCTACCCACACTTATTATCTGGTGGGAAAAACGATTACAACAAAACCAAAAGGGCTGCGAAAGGAAACAACATACACGCACAAAAAAAAAAAAATTCATTCCATACATTACATGCGAAAACGTTAAAGACAATACCAACTACACGTTTTCTGGCAGAGCCAACAATCCACGAAACCTTGCTCTGATACCAATTGTAGGAACACGCCGGTGAGGGCTGTTCATTCCCACGAATCGTTGTTGGATGCCAACGCGTACATACATGGTATTAAACGATCCTAAGCATGCTCCTATAAGAATGAACTAGAGATGTACCCTTTTTGGAACCACCAACAGCAATCACGAACAGGTTGATTCCGCTAGAGACCTTCCAGACTGTTCCCGAACCCCGCTCGAACACCGGATGGGCGGCGATCTATCAAACGGAGGGAGACGAATTTTGCTCTTCGTGAAACCCTAGAGCTGACGGCTTGCACCTGTGGTTTTCGCCTCTTTTTTAAAAAAAAACGTCACTAGGGTTTGACAAAGACCGCATATTAATAAGTCTCCCAACAGGTAATTGGGCCAGACCGGGGATCTTTAGAAGGTGTTGGGCTCGGGCTCCCTTATAGATCCAAATCTCTATATTCAGCCCTGAATATAATTCGAATCATAAAATATTAATTCATTCCATTAAAGAATTAATATTGCACTCCCAGCCCAACCCAAATTGAATCTGGGCTTCTATTAAACTTAATTAATTCCCCATGTTTAAGATGTTCCACATCCATTAATTAATTAAATCTTCTGACAATTTAATTAATTAATATCTTTTAATTCCTTAAGTAATACCACTCAAAATTTATTATTGTACGGATTAAATCCACCTGCAGGGTTTATACAATAATCCTTATTGAGTTCCTTAAGGGGATGTCATCAACCTGGATGTCCAGGACATGGTGCCTTAATGATAATAAATTAATTACTATGCGAATAATGTAGTTGCCCAAAATACGAAGCATATTGAATCACTAAGGATTCTCACTTATGGTAAATTAAAGCAACGAACATTTATTCCATATATTTAATTTATTTCATCTAAGGTTAAGAATTAACAGAGTTACCAAGATCTTGGTTTTTCAATGTCAGAATAGAAGAACATATCTCAACTGTGATCCTTTCAATGTGACGCAGCACATTAGTGTAAACTAATAGTCAAGACAAACTAATTCCAAGTTTACACTACAACTTAAACCGATGGTTTTGTCCATAACCATCTCAGTTGTGAAACCCATTTATATTTAATAAAGAACTGACAACAAGATCTTCTGTGTGATCTCCACACACCATGTTGTCTACAATATTAAATAAGTGGACATGCTAATATATATAAAACATAAATAAAAGCAACACAATGTGAAATAACAATTTATTTATTCCAGTTAATAAGGAAATTGAATAATACAAAAGCGTACTAAAAGTTTGCTTTACAGTATAATCCAACAGTTATGTATAATAATTAGTCGGTAAGAGTGTATTAAAATATAAAAGCACGGTAACAAAACCTAAAATATATAAATTAACAATATATATGAGATTAATATAATAACATATGAATCGATTATGCCAATAGTTCACCGGTAAATATATGAACTATCAATATAATAATAATAATTATACAATGTATATATTATAACAATTGAAATCATATGCTATCAATTTATATTATATGTATTATTAATTAAGACTAATAAATATTGATTAGTCTTAAGCAAAATCTAATAATTTCTATAAGATAAAATAATAATGTCTCCTAAGGAATGACTTGGTGGTGTGGGGAGTGTAGTCTAATAGTATTTTATTAGCCATTTAAAGTATATAAGATAACTTTGACTTTACTCTTACAAATAAAAAAAAAAGAAATATTTTTATAAAAGTTAAAAATATTTTTGTATTTATATATAAATTATTTTTATTATAGTATAAATATATTTTTTTAGTGAGATAGATAAAAGATGAATGAGTGACCCTTCAATGACGATGGATAGATATTTCTAATGATATCCATAACTTAAGTTCAAAAGGTCATGGTTTCACAATAAAATGCAGTTCTTCCACTAGAATATGCCGAATCGGACCATGACGTTGGCATGCCTCGCAGCTAGAGGTATATTCCACACAATCCTTAGAGATTGTTGGCCAAAAGTATCCATAGCAGAAAATAATTCACCTCATATTTGTCCGGTTCCGATGAGCTCCATTGATGTCCTCATGCATTTTCGCCATACTTTCTTTGCTACCTCAGGGCCTAGGCACCAAGCAAGGGTTTCATCTAGCCTCCTGCGGAACAACTCTTCATCTAGGATAACGTAACTATGTAGCTGCTCATTTAGTTGTCTAGAAGTCACGACATTTGGATCTACTAGTCCTTCTAGGTACTCCTTCCGTCAGTCCGCCGGACTTATTTTTGCTACACACATAGGGAGTTTTTGCTGGTATCCATAAGCTTTTTGTGCTAAGTCATTTTCTTTTGGATTTGCTTTCTTGTGGATGTCTTCCAATGTTTCCTCATCGACTATCTCAACAACACTTTTACTTATGCCAAAAGTTCCTGCAAATTTGGTTCTTTGCAGCGGAACTCTCCTAATGTTTGACGGATTACGAACTGGGAATTTTCTTTGATCTGGACGTTCTTGGCTCCTTTTGATACCAGAAACTACAGTGCCAATAGCAACGGTTCATACTTCACTTGGCTATCGATGCACCTTGCGAGCAATTCGACGAAATTCGCCAATCTTGCCCTTTAGGGCTGATGATGACCACTCTACACCAACGGATCCTCCTACACTTGACTAATTAAATAGAACCTGCCAAAGTTTTAGCCAAATGTAAACTGATTGAATCTCTTCTGGCTGAACCATCCCCAGGTGTTCTACCAAAAAATCCGCTACTACTTGCCTTTTGACGGCTCGGAGAGGCTCATACATTAAGGCGAATGAGACCAATTTCATAGCCCACTTCACCAGGTAGCCTCAAAGGATGGCCTTCTCAGTAAATGTCTCAATAAATCCACCTTGCAAAACACCTTTGTTTCCACCGGTATAAGGTGATCTTCTAATTTGGTGCATGTATGGTTGAATAATAAACATAATTTAATTATTATTATTATTATTTTTTTATTTATGTACTTTGTTTTAGGGATCCTTGATATGTGACATTCTTTTATTTCAAATTCGAAGTATATCTCTGAATTTTACTTTATTATAGAATTTCTACGTCAACAATTATATAAACAACGTTTTGATTCTAAATCTTTTTAATTTAATTTGTCCATATACATTAATCTCTATTAATATATATTAATATAATTTCTATTATATTATTTATTAGTTATATTAATATAATTTCTTCAATTAAGTTATAAAATTATTTTTATAATTATTAGTTATATGTAAAATATTTGTTTGTTAAAACAAAATAAAAATATAAAATATTACTATTATTAATATATATATATTTATCACATAAATTTTTTATTAAATATAAATATATTAAAAATTTATTTAAAATTATAAGTTTATTGAAAAAAATAAATTAATCTAATAGAAATAAACATAGAAAGATTTTTATTTCTTTTTATATTTTATACTATTTCTAATGAAAAAAGAGATACATATTTTAAAATAAAATACATTAATTTTCTTACCAAATATTTAAAAATAACAAAAGTAAATATTATAATAAAATTTTCATAATTTTTAATAATTAATAATAAAAATTTTAAAAATTAAATTCATCAAAATAAAACAATTAAATATTTTACAAATACAATATAAAATATTCTTAGTTATAAATAATTAAAAATAAATAATTATTTTATTAATTACTTTAATACAAATTATAATGTATTCAAACTAAATAAACCCACTGATCAAATGAAGCTACCAACTGACAAATATCTATGTAAAAAACCATCCAAAATCTCAAATTAAAATCACCTGAAACCGTGAAACGCACCTCAAAAAACGTTGAAAAATAATTACTAGTAAAATAAATCAATAAATCAAAGTGCAGAAGGGCGTCCGTCCGCCATTTTTCGGTGACGGTTATGGTCTGCCTGCCTCTGAGGAATCTGTTTATTTAATTTTAATTTATTGTATTGCAGCTATCACTTGTCTGCGTCGTCACTCACTCACATTGACATCTCTGAGCACCTACGAGATCGGGAGTAGGAGCCAGCAGGAGGCATTTGGAAAATGGGGGAGCGTCGTAGAGGATGCTGTCCGCCGATGGATCTGATGCGGTCGGAGCCGATGCAACTCGTCCAACTCATTATCCCCATCGAATCCGCTCACCGCGCCGTGTCGTACCTCGGTGATCTTGGCCTTATCCAATTCAAAGACGTTTGTAATCGTTGATTTTTAAAATTTTCTTTTTGTTATATATTGTTCTACTTTCTCATAATGATCTGGTTAAATTGCATTGTTGTTTTTCTGTCGTCGTGTTCGTAACCATTCATCTTGGTAGCAATTTTATCGGATAATGTAGCACCGAGGGTTTCGTTTTCCGGATTTTCTAGCGGAATGTTGTTACGTCTATACGATATTAGGATCGCGAGGATTTGAATGCATTAATGTTGCGAGATTAAGATGAGTTGAAAACAAAAAACAAATTTAGAATCGGATGTCATATTTTTATTATTAATTAACTAATTAAATGCTATATCTAGGTTTCTGTTCAGTTGCATGGGAATTTCGTGGGTGATTGAATAACAGAGATTCTTTACATATATAAAATTTCTTAGTAACAGTTGGAAGTCAGGATCATGTAATTGTTCGTGGTTTTCAGTTGTTAGTTTCTGAAATGGTGTTATTGTTTTCTTTGTTCTATCAGCTGAATGCAGAAAAAAGCCCATTCCAACAAACATATGCTAGCCAGGTAAAACATCCTGTGATAATATATTTATTACAATGCTTGTGGATGCATGGTACTAAAATTAGTAAGAAGCTCTGTTTTGTAAAGCTGTCTTTTGATGGATTTGGTTTATTTCAGTGATTGCATTTTTAGATACCCTTCTTGTTTGTGCTTAAGATATAATAGGTTGACATCGATTGAAGTTCCTGCTTCAATAACCTTTAGTATGAACAGCTTAATAAATTTGGTTTTTATTGTCTTAAGCAAGGTCACAAAATCCTGCACTGACAATCAATAATGTGTCTTAGTTTGTCTGTTTTCATGTAAGTAGTGGGATAATTTTGGTCCCTTTTGGGTGAAATCTAATTCTTATAAGTGTAGTGTTGTGCTTGCTGTGCTATTTGAAGTTTTTATTCTAAGGTAGAAGTTGCAAGCTTGTATTTTTAATTTATCTTTTTTAAGATTAAAAGATGTGGAGAAATGGCAAGAAAGTTGAGATATTTTCGGGACCAAATGATCAAGGGAGGAGCGATACTGCCAGCAGAATCAGAACCACAAGCTTACATCAGTTTCGATGACCTCGAGGTATATATATACATATATATATATATATATTTGTACCTGCTTTTGTTCTCTATGGTTGATTCATGGATATGCTTAACCCCAAGGTTTCATCTTTATTCAGGTTAAACTTGCGGACCTTGAAGCAGAGTTAGCTGAAATGAATGCAAATGATGAAAAGTTACAAAGCTCCTACAATGAACTAGCTGAATACAAGCTTGTTCTCCAAAAGGTATATCCCCGTAGGATAAAAAGTGTTTCATCAATAGAAAACAAAACTTCCACCCAAGCAAGGTTATTCAAATTGGGCATTTTCTTTGGTACTTAACTTGCTTCTCATCTATATCTCTAATTTGTTGGATGGAAGCTCGGGTTATTAACTTGTGTTGGTACATAACCTGTGCACATATTTTCTCACATGAAAGATACTTTTCAACAAAGAATCACTAATCACGTTTTTCAAGTTGAATAGAAACACAGAGCAACTAAGTAGCCTTTGTGAATCTGCATAACCAAAATTCTATACCAAGTGATTATTCTTGTGTTGTAGTTTTGTACTTTTTCAATGTTTCTGTTATCAATATAACAACGAATTTTGTGTTACTTTCTGTCTTTCCAAGATATATGTTAACTTGGGAGCTGTTGTATTCCCTAGGCTGGGGAATTTTTCCATTCTGCCCTGACCAGTGCAGAGGCCAGACAAAGGGAATGTGCATCAAATCGAAGTGGTAGAGAGTCCTTGGAAACTCCCTTCTTGTCTGAACAGGTATGAGTGTTCACGATAACACATATTCTTGTGAAATTGCATTTCTGTAGTAATGGAATGGTCTGTTGTTTCTTAGGAAATGGTCACTGATTCATCAAAGCAAGTTAAGCTGGGATTCATAACAGGACTTGTTCCCAAGGACAAGTCTATGGCATTTGAAAGAATTATGTTCCGGGCTACCAGGGGTAATGTGTTCCTAAAACAGGCTGCTGTGGATGAGCCTATCATTGATCCTGTATCAGGAGAGAAGGTAGTGATTTATCCTCAATTATACATGTTCGCAGAAGTTTGTTAAGTTAACAAATTGAAATCACATGTTTGTGAAAGCAGATCAGGTAGTCGTGAACACATTTTCCTATTCACGCTGGTTAAAATCTCTAGTTTCAGCATGGTTAGCAGCTTCTTAAGCAAAGAGACTGATGATGGCTACTTTTAGTGTAGTTCAAAATATTTTTGGAGGACAGATTAATGAAAATGAAAGAAGACAAGGTATGGTTAATGAATGGTACCAAAATCCCCAACAACTACTACTTATAAGCTATACTCTTCCAAAGAGAAAGATATCTACTCCTAAAGCAGTTTGCATCTAGTGTTGTTTTTCAGCATGTTGAACCAAAATAATCATAGTGCTTAAAAAGACAATTAACAAGGTATTGTTCAAAACTTCTACTTCAGAATGTGACAGATCTACATCTAAGTTGTCAAATGTACCAAATAGGTTCTTTGATTGAGCTGGCTACTCCTTTGTGATCTCAAGTAGCAGCAAGTGACTCAATCCATTGGTGGCAATGCCAATAGGCAGAGGTTCCCACAAGGTTAGGTCATCATGGATTTAGGATATGCTGTCTCCCTCTCATCTTTCTTTTAGTTGAATCTATCTAGATTTCCCACAGTATCCAAATAGACTATGTGTGACAATACATAATAGAGAACCCTTGTGTCATGAGGCATTGGGATATAAACCTCCAATGAAACGATGGACACATGATTCTTCCATTGCCATCATAGCTTATAGAACCCTTTGCATGGCCGTCATGTTTCTATTACTACTCGGTCAACCAATAGATAGAATGTGGGTTGGGGGATGCCAAAGTAGAGCAGAGAGTGATATATGAGAGCCTCCATCGATATTGTACTTCTTGTCATACTCTGGGACATATTGCTGTTGATTGCCGTCGGTCGGGACCTTTTCGGGTAGCGATGGAGGCTAGGAGAGGTCCCCGGCCGGCGGAGACTGTTCCTCCTATTGAGGAGCGGGTATGCCTCCTACTGAGGAGCGTGTTGAAGAGGATACTATTGAGCCTGTGCGGACGGGTCGTAGGAGGCGCAGGCGTAGAAGGCGCAGACCAGGGTCAGACTGGAGCGGAGAGAGTTCTCACATTTGGTATTCGGGTTACTATTCCAGATGCTAGAGTTGCGTCTGCTGTTGTTGAGAGGGTTATTTCATCCGGTACTCGGGTTACTGTCCCGAGTACTAGGTTGGATTCAAATACTGAGGGAGTGTCCTTGCCTGGCATTCGGGCTCCGAGTGCTAGTTTGGTTGATTCAGATATTGTTTAGAGGTTTCTTTCGTTTGGCATTTGGGTTACTGCTCCGGGTACTAGATTGGTTGAGTCTGATATTGTTGATCTCTTTATTTTTCCTACTGTTGTTGTCCTGGATCAGTTAGTTGGTGAGACAGAGTTAGAGGAGGAGGTTTGGGCTTCAAGATCCCTGATGTTAGTGAGCCCTATGGTACAAGAAGAGTTGCCTTCCCGTCAGGATAGGGGGAAGGCAACGATGGCTGATGATGCTCCGGAGTCTTCATGTAGATTAGCGTTTTTTTCGTCTTTTGATATCGAGTCGGATGATTCTCCGCTTATCAATGAGGGTACTCCAGCATCCTGGTTTGATATATTAGCTATTTCTCCCCGTGGAGATAGGAGTTTTATTTTGGGTGTCCTGTCCCGGGAGAGCTCTGTGTCTTCATCCGGAGTAGATGATTGTCGCCATAACTGTAGGGCTCCATCAGAGCCGCTCCCCGCGCTGGCCCCCTTAGGGATGATACATTGGAGGAGGTAGATCATGAGGGTATGATTTGTCCCCCAGAGCTTGAGATTCCCTCAGGAGTCAATGTGCAGAGCCGGCTGCCGCTTCCGGAGGTGAGCCGCCGCATCACTTGTAGTATTGCTCGACTCCAAGCGAGTTCCTCTATCGCCCCACACTCTTAGATGACTGATCTTTCGATCTTGGTGTGGAACGTTCAGGGTGATGGGAACCCCCGGGCCCAGCAGGAGATTTGCTATTTGTGTCGGGAGTCCGGGTGCACATACCGATATTTTTGGAACCTATGGTCGAGGCAGCGCCGGAGTATTTCTGCCGTCGCTTGAGATTTGCGCAGATGATAGGGAATGAGGCGAACACGATTTGATTGTTTGTCGATAACTCATTTCAAATCCAGATGCTTGCCAGTGTCGATCAGTGGATTCACGTGCAGATATCGTTGCTGCAGATTCATCGGCCTTTCTTGCTGACGGGGGTTTACGGGAGATGTAGTGTCATTAAGCGTCGGGAGATATAGAGGTTCTTGGACGAGACTGCAATCTCAGCTACTGGGATCCCTTGGATAGTGGGTGGCAACTTTAATGCCATCACAAATATATCAGAAAGGGAAGGGTCAGGGCGGCCATGATTGTGATCGATTCAGGATTTTTCGGTAGCTCTCCTTGATGCGGGTTTGATAGATGTCAGCTTTGAGGGCCCTCAATATACTTGGACGAACCGGCGGGTGTGGGAGCGTTTTGATCGGATACTTTATAGTCGTTCGTGGGAGGAGTTTGCGGAGTCCATGCGGGTTCGGTACCTCCCGCAGATGTGCTAGGATCATGCACCTCTACTGGTTCGGATTTCACATGAGCGGCATCAGGTTTCGTCAGTATTTAGATTTCAGAGAGCATGTGGATTTGTCATCACTATTTCATGAATAGAATTCGGGAGAGTTGGGAGGTTCCGACGGGAGTGTCGGGGCTTCTTAACTTACGCTTGAAGCTAGGGAGGCTCAAGCAGTCACTGAGGTGGTGGAGTCGGCATGTTTTTGGAGATGTATTTCATATTTTGGCGGAGGCCGAGAGGGAGGCTGTGGAGTATGATCGGGATCCTTCGGAGGCTTCTTTGTTACGCCGGCAGCGCAGTGCGGCAGCTTTGACACATGCTATTGTGTTGGAGGAGTCGTTTTGGCGGCAGAAGGCCGCATGTAGGTGGGCGGTTGATGGGGAAAGGAACTCCCGGATGTTTCATTCGATGGTCCGGGAGCGCCGCTAACGGGCGTTTATCTTTTACATGTGAGATGGTGATAGGGATCTTACGGAGCACTCAGACATCAAGGCATCGACAATAGCTTACTTTGCCTCGATGTTTGGGGAGGCGGATGATGCTGATACCTCGGGTATGGATGACTTGGCGGATATGCCGTCGCAGGTTCCACCTGAGGAGAACCGGCGGCTCTTGGCTCCGCCGACGTTGGCGTAGTTTCGGGAGGTGGTATTCTTGATAGATCCGGATAGTGTGGCAGGTCCGGATGGATTCTTGGTGGCTTTTTACAGATCTTATTGGGAGATTATCGGTCCGGATGTGTTAGCGGCTGTTTTGGAGTTCTTTTTGGGGATCCCGCTCCCGGAGTTTTATACGGCCATTACTATCGTCCTTATCCCGAGGAGAGATGCTCCGAGTCTTGGGCTGATTATAGGCTGATTAGTTTGTGCAACGTGAGCAATAAGATCATCACAAAGTTGCTCACGGTGTGATTGGGGACTTTACTACCGCGCCTACTTTCACTGCATCAGAGTGGGTTTGTGAAAGGACGCACGATTGCGCATAATATATTGATGCCATCTCAGATGGTTCATGACTTGAACCTTAGAGGCACGTCGCATAACGTGCTTCTGAAACTGGACCTTAATAAGGCATATGATAGGGTGTCTTGGCAATTTTTTAGGCATGCCTGTTGAGGTTCGGTTTCACAGAGGAGTTCATTATATTGGTGATGCATTGTTTGGAGCATGCTTAGTACTCCGTGTTGATTAACGGAGGTCTTGGGGGATTTTTTAAATCCTCCCGGAGGGTCCGACAGGGGGATCCGTTGTCGCCTACTTTGTTTGTGCTTGCGGCAGATATTCTATCGAGGGGTTTAGAGCATCTCTACCAGGGGTGTCTGGAGCTTTTACTTTAGATGTAGAGGGGGGTTTCGGTTGTCTCATTTAGCATATGCCGATGATGTTTTGATATTTGTGAGTGCCTGTGGGGAGCGGATGAGCTCTTTGATGACCTTTTTGGCTGATTATGCGCGGATCACTGGCCAGAAGGTCAACTGTAAGAAGAGTACGATCGTTTTTAGTCAGAGATTCCTGGAGGGAGTTCTAGAGCAGCTTTAGATGGTCACAGGAGTTAGATTTTCTGATCTTCCACTTACTTATCTTGGTGCACCCCTTTATGTGGGGAATCAGAGGAGTATTCTATGCGAGGAGCTTCTAGGGAAGCTTCGGAGATATTTGAGCCGCTGGGATTGGGCTGTATTGTCACATGGCGGCCGATTACAGCTTATTGAGAGTACACTTTTATCCCTTCCACTGTATTTACTTCAGGTATTGCATCTGCCATAGTCGATACTTCATGAGGTTGAGCAGATCTGTGCACGGTTATTTTGGGGCTCGTATCATGGTCATCGCCAATGTCACTGGATTTCTTCAGTGGATGTGGCACGGCCGCAAGAGGAGGGTGGTTTGGATTTCGACGCCTCTCGGATATGGTTCATGCATTTTCCATAAAGCTTTGGTGGAAGCTTCGCGAGGGCTCCTCCTTGTGGGCGTAGGCGATTCGGCACAAGTACTTCCATGATTCCTTCCCGGGCCGAGCTCTTTGTCGGAGCTACCACAGCCCGGTGTGGAAGCGCTTGTGCCGAGTTAGGAAGGAGGTTCAGTTACAGATTTATTGGACTTTAGGTCGGAGAGCGTGTTATTTTTGGGATGATAGATGGCTTGGAGGCAGCGCCCCTTGCGGCCTTTCGGGAGGGCAGATAACCGCCTCCACCGCCGATCTTGGTTCGAGATATGTGGAGTGGCGACTGGTGGGATATTGTGAGATTGCGAGCATATCTTCCCGAGTCGCTAGTTCAGCGTATTATGCAGGTCCCTATTGATAGACAGTCTGAGGATCGGATGAGTTGGATGGCCTCGTCATCTGGTACATTTACGACATTCTCAGCTTGGGAGCTTTCTCGTAATACGGGGGTACGGACTTGGCTGTTGGGGATATTTTGGTCGCGTATCCTTACTCCGATGATGACAATCTTTCTATGGAAATTGTTTAGGCGTCGGATACCGATAGATGAGATTATCCAGCATTATGGCATTTTT